CCCCAAAACCCCAAAACCCCAAAACCCCATTTTAAATTTTAAAAATTGCGTGATAAATAATAATAAAACCCCAGCCAAACCTTCAAGCATGAATAAGAAGTAAGTCACGGCCCCTCTAAAGTGTGTTCTAGGCCAAAAATTGACCCGCGAGAACGAGTAAAAGCTGTCAGTTAAAGTCTAGACAACCAGTGAGGACCTCAACATGTACAGCACTCAGATGCAAATCATGGGCCTCAAAAAGGAAATCGAGGTCATACTCAAGTCCAATATTTCAGAAGTAACCAAATAAATTTGAACTAGACCAAAGTAAACTTACAATTGATCAATAGAGGAGACCAAGGACTGGGTCTCCCAGACCTTCAAGGAATATTTAGGGGATGGAACCAGTAGCACAAAGTTCGTACCAACAGAGATTCTCAAAGTAAGTCCTCCTCCTTAAGACCTTACAGACCAAAGCGAATGAAAGCGATGTGCTCAAGATGAAGCGGTCAATCTCGCAAATCAACTACCAGCTTGAAAAAGGATTCGAAGCAATTATTCTAAGCTCACGGAACGAGATAAAAGCAGCAATCATGAACAGTGCTACTCAGGATGACTTCTCTTACCTTAAACAGACCACTGCGACCAAAGATGATCTTGCTCAGCTTCGACAAGAGCTTATTGACAGGATGCAGCAGATGGAAAGAAGAGTAACACCTCTTACTCATGTTTTAGACCCAGACTGACATCACCTTCACAGAGGAATCCCAAGAATCTGAAGAGAACATCGACGATGTACTCTCCATCAACCAGAGAGACGAACTCCTTGATGAGGAAAACATGGCTGCACTTGACGAGGAGTTCAAAAGAGGAGAAAGTTGGAAGACAGATGCCGAGCAAATGAGTAATCACCTAGCTTATCCTCTAGAGCATTTTAAACCCACTCCAGAGATGAAGCAGACTATTGAGGTAATATTTGAAATGAGAAAGATCAAACCCGATTTAATATTGTATTTAAACTTAGATTCACCTGCTCCAAAGTTAATCTTTGTGCTTGAAGTAAATACTTACTTTGGCAAGACTTCAAACATTTGAAAAATTGTAACGCAATTTAGGACATACCAAACAAGAAGGAAGTAATCATCTCAAAATTTGAAGCTCAAAAAGAAGATATTCAAAGCATTCCTCTAAAATCTAATCTTTCTAACAAAGAGCCAGTGACAGGCTCTCAGTTCAACTCAGGAGAAAGTTTTGATTCACATGGAGGATATATCAGAGGTATACAGGAAAACAGGTATGTCGACCCTCACGGCCAGAGTAAGTACTCAACTGCATATACAATACTGGAATAAATAATTTACCCACAGTTTCCTTGGTAAAACGTTGAGCAAAATTCTCATAAATTCACTACAGAAACTCCAACTGAATACAGCTTTGGTAGTTCATTCTACCAGAAATATCAAAATAGGCTGAAAGGCAACAAGAGGAGCACTAAGGCAACTCTGAGGTACCTACAAGTACAGATCAACGAAATGTCGGCTAAACTGGTAGAAAATATCAACTCTACAGAGCTCATGCGGGATAGAGTTTTTAACGTAGCAAGTAAGTCACTCGGTTCTCCTTTATATGCTTTCATCGGAAGTTTCACCGGGTTTGCACTCCGAATAACTCTAGACCCCACAAACGTTCAAAGCATAACTCAACACTTATCTATAGAGCTCGAGGAAGATTGCGAACTGATATCTAGCAGCTTCAATGAGCTCAGGTCCAGATGCTCCGACATTGACGAAGACTACAAACATATTGTGGAATACTACGAATTCAGTAAGAAGCAGCATGAAGATATCCTCAAATTCTTACACAAAACTGAGAAATCTCTTAAAGAAAATGATGGAAAAATGGCTCAAATTTTTCAAGTTGAGCAAAAGGAGAAGCAAGGCAAGCTCCAAGCCATCGTTAGTGCCAATACCGACAAAATTCAGCAACTAGTTGATAAAGACACATCTATCTTCCAGCCTATGAGTGAGAAGGTCAAGGCACTCACGGAAGGACTTCTCAAAGCTGAAGAAAAGATTGATGATACCATCAAGGAGGTGATAAACATCGACAATAAGTACCTCCTCAAGTCTGAGATTTATGAGGAAAAACTTGACGAAATTCAAAGGCCATTACAAAGACAGATGATCACCACATTTAAGCAGATCAGTACAGTTTTCATGGCTGTTTTTGAGCATCTGAAGTACCTCATGTTTGGCCAAGAAGGTAAGCCCTTGTCTTTGATCGCTAATTTTGTAGGTGGCAGAGACAAAGATTATAAGAAAATAATCAGAGAATTTTACGAAGTTATGAACGAACAACAATTTATTGACTCACAACTTAAAACAGATTTGTTGAGCAAAACGTCCCAAATCCTGCTAGATTTCCATGACAGTTGTCCGAAAGAGAGAGAGGGACTTAAACAGAGGTTCAGACCCTCAACAACGGATGAAAAGGGCTCAAGGAAACCTAAGTTATCTAACTCAGGCCCGTTTAGCATGAAGTCATCTCCTAACAGAATCAATGATGAACTTTTCAGCCAGCCTAGTGGGTCTCCAAATATAGTAGATTTAAAGTTAACAACAGACATAAAGCAGGATATTCACAATAAGCAGTAAGCTCAACTCAATCGAACCTTTTAGGAGAGAATCTCAGGTTAGACAGGAATGGAATGAAGGCTTTTCAAAAGGAATTCTTCCCAACAAAAGGAGGTTGAATTCTAAAAAGATGACCAATAGACCTAAGAGTAAGCGATCTCTTCACATATCAGCTACTCATAACCACATCAGATCCTACAGAAATCCTCGAATTGGGTTCCAGAGAATTAACTCAACTAGTAACAGTAAGCTAAAGAGTCAGGCGACCACCAAAAGTAGGACTGGGCCAAAGTCAAATCAGTCAAATGCCAAGTATATTCCTCTTCTGATTCATTAGAATGCCAAATTCAAAATACAAGATCAATGAAGTAGAGAATAAGATCCGGATAGATAACTTTGAGAAGGAAGACCAGTCCTACGGAAGTAATGGACTCGCTCAAAGCGAGCTCCTGATTAGGTCAAATGTGCAGTATGCTGAGAAACCCAGTTCAAAGAAAGTACTAACTCTCTAATAATTTATAGATTATCCTCCATAGGTTCAAACATCTGTTTAAAGATGGAGAAGAACTTGACACAGCTGTTAATGTCACAAGCAGTAATTTTGAGCATTCCTTAATCAATGACCACGAAAAGGGCAGAAATAGGCATAAATTTAGGTACTAGTGACTAGTAACTTCTTTAGAAGCAGCTCCACTCATGGAAGGATCACGGCCAATCGGCTGAGCAAGCCATAAAGCATACTTAGAATCAAGATTCAATTCGAAAATGTATATAAGGGGTTTTGGGGTTTTGGGGTTTTGGGGTTTTGGGG